GTATCTTATTTTATTCATTTGCCTTTGTTTTATAATAGATATGTTGTTTTGCAGATGAAAGACAAAAAGTTTGTTGTCCGCGCATCAATGCTGTATGATTTAAAACGAGGTAAAACTGCAGCGGATTGCCATCGAACTACCTGTGCCGCATTTGGAGAGGATTCAATTTCAATCAGCCAGTGCCAGCGCTGGTTTAAACGATTTGCGGACGGAAACGAGTCGTTAGAGGACGAGGAACGCGCTGGAAGGCCACTCGTTTTTGATAACGAAGCTTTGCTTAACACCATGACGGACTTCACTCTTTGCTCGGACGATGGAGAAATGTTGTGGATTGTTGTGGAGAATATATCGATTAATAAAGTTCTCTTTTGTTAATTTTGTGATATTTTGAAAATCGTGTCAAAACACGCATTACTTATTGGACAACCTAATATTTTATCTCAACTTACTGATGCTTACTGAATTTTCGATGAATGTTTTAAAGTAACCGGCTATAGTCAGCTTAATGCATTGAATTAAAAGAAACATAAATCTTGTATGATGAATCTAGGTGCTGACGCTGCTTCGTATCGTTTGACGGATAATAGTGTTGAGTTTCAAAGTTGACACTGCGGAAATAGAAAATGCCTTTGCAGTGATTGAGGTTGAGCGATCGATGATCATTTTAAGTTTTCAAAGTATTCTGCTATGACTTATTGAATGGCCAACTAATTCCAGGTGAGTTGAGGGCTCCGCAATCATTTTTTGATTTAATGTTTGTTCACTCCATCGGATCTCACTCCAGCCACGGGGATCTAAAGTTAAAAAGTTAAAGTGAGTTTAGTTAAATCTGAAATCGAGCTCGTGTAGGCGATAGTACCGGTGCCGTGTAGTGCCGATTGTACCGTGTACAAATCCGGCGTGGCGTGGCTGAGCTCGCGCTGTACCCGAAATTCGGGCGTGTCGGCAGCACCATCTTTGGGAAACAAAAAAAAACATATTTACAGGTTGATTAGTTTTCGTTTTAAATAACAAAGACAGGTATTATTATTATTATGAAAGGTACTACGGTAGGCAGCCACTGGGGAAGAGCTTGTAAAATGAATGACCGCCCTAAAAATTTAGCGAGTTTCTCATTAAATACAAAATGATTGGCTGAATATCTCTTTTGCAAAAGATTTGCCAACGGGTATAAAAAGAAAAAAGCATTTGCCAATGGGTACAAAATGTTTAGCTGAATATCTTTTTGCTGAAGATACTTAGCTAACCGGCAACATACTTATTCGCCAAGGGGTAAAACATCCGAACATGCCGCGGGTTTTTTACTTTCAAGAAGAGTCTCCAATGTTTTTTTACGCGTTTTGGGTAGCTCGGATTTAAAATTTTTGGTGGAAAAGCAAAGTTATTTAGCGATTATTTAGAATTTTGTCTAGAAGCCTTTAATTCGAATTATCTACTTGATTTTGCAAAAACTAATTGTTTTTATTTACAGATAGAACCACGCCAAGAAAAATGTCGTTTGAAACGCGAAAGCTGACATAATTCCCAATGCAGAAGCTATGCTACGACCTAAAGTTGGAGGCTTTGGAGCAAATGGAGCAATCTTTAAAATGGAAAAAAATACAGCCGTCAACTGCCCGAGAATCCTGTATATCGTTATGCGAGGTTTGTTTGAATCTTGGAAAGCTTTAGCCTATCTATTCAAACTAGTCGTCTATCGGGTTCCGGACATCGTGACGATCGCATTGAGGGTTTCGGATTCAAAGCGGATGGTCGTCCTGTTGTGATGCCCGTCAAGTCCGAGCACATCTATCGACATTCGGATTCGGGAACACGGGGACAAGCACCGCTTCAGTTAGTTCTCCAATTCTTTTAACCAGGAGGCAAAGCACACTATCGTTCGCTTTGTCCGCTGGCTGGTTCGGAGACCCGTGAAAGTCTGGAGATCGTAGGATCCATACATACATACAAATTGTACGTAGATACAACGATATAAAATTTAGATCCACTCGAGATCTGTTGTACCCGGACAAACGTCCCGGCGATCAAATGGGTCACATTCGACCGAGAGCCGAAGGAGGCTCCGGAAAGGTCCACAACATTTTCTCCCAAGATGGACCGGTCAGTGAAGTTAATCTTGACATGCTTATTTTGACATCAGTTAAATCAAGGACCCGGCGCGAGGATGGAAGCCAGAGTTCGCCAAACACTGAAGGATAATCCCCAAAACTCGGGTTTTGTGAAGGTTGGGAGAGAATCTATCTATTGGGTTGGGGAGAATGAGTCGGCGCCAAACTTTAAAGGGACTTTTTGCACACATAAAGCCTTCTTTAAACATACGTTTGGTTTCATCAAAAGGATCCACTATTTCTCTACAAAATGACTTTTGAGAGATTCCACAAAGCTTTTCTTTCGTGGAGTTTATGAACTTCCAAACGCAGCTGGTTAAAATGGCAAAGAGTCCGACTCATCATTTGAACAGTTTCTTTCACATAAACCTTCTTTGGTGTTTATATAAAAAAGATAGAGCACATTCAATTACTTAAGTTGCCAAATTTGCAGGAAGATCCCACCAATGGTTTTTCTAGATGACAGTTTGTAGTTTTTGTGAAAAAATGGCTTTTTCTTGAGCGGAGGCGCTGTTTGAATTTTCTTTTAAATGTCATTTTGTAGAGAATTAGCTAACCATTCTACTGATATCAAACGCATATTATTTGACGAAGTCGAATAGAAGTTTTAGACATTTTTTTCATTTTCGGCGCCGACTCATTCTCCCCAACCCAATAGATCGAACCCTTTAGCATCATTTCGACGTGGATGCTGAAGAAAATCAGTTCCGAGCTTCCGGATTCAAGTGGGTTGACACATCGATAGATAAACTAGTGGAAATTTATCTGCGTTCTTGACCAACTTGCAACATTTAGATATCAAATCGAGTCGCACAAACACGGCGAGCACAGCGTCAATTCGTTCAGTTTATTACATTTATCAATACATTTACTGGCAATCAAAATGTTTTCAGAAAAACGAAGAAAATGGGATTTATCAGTTTTTGTCCACAGAAAGGAACACAAAGCATTTATCAGAATTGAGAGCTCCTTTTGCACATCCAATGAAGCTGCGGAGTGGTAGGAAGAAGGGCCAACCATATCCCATCAGCGCTTCAAAGCTGAAATGTGTTCATTTCTGATGGAAATCCTTTGATAAAACACTTTGCGTTATTTTACACAAAGAAGTTTTCTCAGATTGATCTGAACATTTTAATATTATGCATTGGAAATTGGATTAAATATTGGTGATTTCAGGCTGAAAATCTCACAAAAGCGTGGGTGTTCGAATCCGGGTATCCCGATTCCCAATTAGTGAAATCCAGCGAACTTCCATCCGTCCATTCAAAAGCATTTCCTTTGTTCGGATTTCTCTGAATAAAGAAATTTTTATGTTCAGACATCGAGATTTCTTTTTTCTTTTCTTATTATTGAAATTATTTTCCAAGTGAAACCAGAATCAAGAAATTTTTATGTTTCACTGTTGATATGTCAACCAAATTTTTTTTCATTTTAGAAACATTCTAGTTTCTCAATTGAAAGCATTATTTCTATCAAAGAACTATCAACCAAACGAATCATTTCTTGACAAAAAGTCTTCCGAAAATGGCTGAAAGAATTATTACTTTCTATTCATTTATTTCTTTCGATAAGAAAAATTCAACCTTCAGTCCAATCCAGAACGCAGCATTCGAATAAACATTTTTCGCTGAAATAAATATCGGTTGTTTTTGGTTTATAAAGCATAAATTTCTACGAAAATCATGAATTTTCAGAATTGAATCATTTCGATTTCTTACCGAGTTCCCAAACAAAAGCGTGCTCTTCCTGACTGTGAATTGTGACTCAATGGCTCTTTCGACTCGCACAATATGCCTCGGCTTCATCAAATGTCATTTCTTGATTGGGAACCTTGGGATGAAGATAATCCTGGTTCACAACATCCACCAAACCTTGTACCAAGAAGCAGTTTTTGCCAAATACGACCATCCCTTCAGATCCAAGGAAGTTATTGTTCGATTTCTGAATTTCTTCGAAAAATTTTTAGACAAATACCCAATCTTTTTCCTTTAAAAACCCACAAATCTGAAACTGTTGCCTCAAGTCTCAGTCGACAAGAGATACCAAATAAACTCACATTTGGGCTTCAAATCCAGAGATTTTGCCCTGCAACGCGTTGATTTCCCCTTCGAGCTCTCCAATCTTAGCTTTTCCGTCTCTCACTTGCGAATTTGGGTCGCTTCTAAAAAAAGTCCCATGTTTGTCGATATTTTATGTTGAGCCTGTGAAAAAAGGAAATTACAAAATTAGTACAATTGTGCTTCGAGATCGTCGTTCTTCCTTTTCATCTCGGCGACTTTCCTTTCCAATTCTCGATTTCTCTCCCTTTCGTCAAACAAATCAGCCTCCAACTTCGTGATTTTCAAATTCGCCTCAATTTGAGCGATTTTTGTTGTCCATCGACTCATCTCGACGTCTTTGTCCTTTTTCATTTCTTCCCTAAACTCTTCGATTAAATTAAAGACTGTTTTGGATAGCAGCAAAGATTTGGCGAAAAACCCACAAATCGGCTTCGAGTTGGGCGATTTTCTCCAAAGAGATGGCCGGTTCTACTATGCGTTTGACACTCTTTTCGGCTTCGCGTCGGGGATTCGAGAGATTGTCCATTTCGGCTGCCAGACGATTGGATGCCTAGGAAATTAAAGGAAACAGCTACTAAAGAGGCAGAATTGATGAGAGAAGACAAAATCAAACAAGAAATTTATTGCCAACCAAAATAGGGATTTCTTATTAAAACGGAAACTGCTACAAAAACTGCTAAAAAAGAACAACGATTTGAGGCAAGAAATAGAATGAGGACGCAAGGATTTCCTCAATATTCTATTTAGATTCTGTCCAATTTTCGGAGAAACATCGCTGTCGCTGTCATCGTCGGATGATGATGAAGAGGATTCAGAGCTTGGTTCGGAGTCAGACTTCTTCCTCTTTCCGCCTTTTTCCAAAAACTCGCGAAGATCCACCCTAACATTTATACACTTATTAGCGTTCTCAAATCTTTCTTACGTCCGTCTACCAAGATGGATTAATGTGAACGAGTTGATGGCGAAGCGAGCATTGGCTGGGTTGTCCCGGGGCAAAAGTTCCTCAAACGCATGTTGCAATGTACTAAAGATTATTGAATTCTAGAAAATATCTAAACTTACGGATCACAGATTCTTTCATACAGCTTTGAAAGCACAATCATTTGAGCCAATTCAAGGAATGGTTTTGACGTAAATCCTGCCCGAAGAAGTTGTCTCATTCTCGTTCAAATGGATTTCGCTCAAAACCTAAATTTGAACACTTTAAATATGGATACGAAAAAGTAAATATTCGCATAAAGACTTACATCCCAAGTAATGGCATCTGTGAAAAGCAAATGACTGATTAAACGAGCCAAATTCCTCAGTTTCGTAATATCAAAGCGATGGATAGTTTGATAAGTCTCACGAGCTATTGTCTCAAAAGTAGCCTAAAATAAAAAAAATGGCCACATACTTTTGAAACTAACTTCAGATTCACGTTTCAGCCGACAAAAACGCTCGCAGAGAAGTCGATAAAACCTTCCATAAGTACGTTCCCGTGCACAACAATCAACGAGAATGTGAATGCGTTCCGGCTATAATGAAAAAAAAACTGGCTCTTTTCTATTACTAAGTACCTTAAATTTAAGAAAAGCGGGTTCCACGGTTAAAGTACCTACTAATTGGAAAGAGCCAAAAATGTTTTATATTCTATCAATAAGCCCAACCTCCAATTCTCACTTGACACCCATTTTGAGAAGTTTGTGAACGTGCTCTTGATAGTCGAGCCGTGATTGAATTGTCAAGTAAGCTTCGCGACGGAAACCGACGAGATTTTGCTCAGTGTTGTCAATGATTTCCATTTGTTGAGGCTGAGCTGAAATAAGTATTTAAATATTGCATTAGATTCGTCTGAAGTTTTATAAAATTTGAATCGATAAAATTGAATGTCTACATAATTTCTAAAGCTTGAAACTGTGAAACATACTTAAGTGTCAATTCACCAATAACAGGAAACTTGGAATTAATCACTCCAACCAAACCAGCGTATACATGTGAAAATGTTGGAGAAAAGGCTTGTGCTTGAATTATCGATCGAGTCAGCAAACCCCTAAAATTTTGTTTACTTCAGAAAATGCTAAAAAACAAACTTTCCACGGATAATGTTTTCCATTTGTTGAGGTTGAGCTGAAATAAGTATTTAAATATTGCATTAGATTCGTCTGAAGTTCCATAAAATTTAAATCGATAAAATTGAATTTCTACCGTTTGCAGCCGCCTCATCGTCACTTACTTAATCCTCGTCCTATTCCTCTGATTCCTCTTCACTTTCATCGGCCTCACCAAATGTTCACGGATCTCGTTGAAGGCAGCTGCCTTTTTCTCAAAATCAGGATCCAATTTGAAAATGCCTATAAAGTTTGTTTGAAACCCAAGTTGATTGAAAATTAAATTTTTTAGTTGACCCACTAAGCATATTTTCAGCATCAGTAGCATCTTCAAGGGAAAGGGTATGTGTAATTTGGCCCTCTTCCGAAATAAGCTCGAGTTCATCAATTCAGCTGGGTAGTTCTAAAGGAATAAACCTTGCCAGGCAATAGAACTGAAAACTGACCGCAAGTTTATCTCTCCAAATTTACCTATCTATCACATTCTTTCGGAAAAGCAATACACACTTGCACTGAATCTTCCGTTGGCGTTTTAAGCATCAAAAGCATGATCTCAAGAGCAAGCAACTCGTGAGCACCACTTGTTGATTGATCACCGTTGTTGCTTTGTCGTTTCGACGAAAAGATCGCTTGAACTGCACAATCAAACGCCTAAGCCCTAAAAATTTTTTTTCTAAAGCCTAAAACTGTGAAACATACGAAGTGTCCATTCACCAATAACCGGAAAAGTTGGAATTAATCACTCCAACCAAACCAGCGTATACATGTGAAAATGTTGGAGAAAAGGCTTGTGCTTGAATTATCGATCGAGTCAGCAAACCTCTAAAATTTGGTTTACTTGAGAAAATGCTAAAAAATAAACTTTCTGCGGAGAATGTTTTCTTGAAGAAGCTCTCGCAGAATTGCGACAAGATTGCTGGCGTTATTTGCTGGCTCATGAACTCAACAAATCAAACTTTATTCATAAATATAGGGGAGAGATCAATAATAACGCTACACACTCAACAAGTTAGCAAAATGATAAATAAGGAAAACTAGGCGATCAACTTTCTGAGTCTTCGGCGCCTCCGATGTAGAGGATGTTGTTGCACCTAGATTTAAACAAATTAGACAAAAGTCACTTTAATCACCTTATTAAAATTTCTCCCAAAGCTCCAGTGTTTGTTCCATCAATGTATTCTTCGGCGTTAGCCATCTAAAAGATAAAAAATTTATTTCTGAATGCCTAGGCCTAAGCAAGCTTACTCGTCATATATCTGACTGTTCACAAGCGACATAAAAACTAACAAAATTCAGAACTCACCTCGCCAAACTCGCTTTTAGCTATGCCATAAAAACTTACACAAAGACAACCCCACCTGGACATTCATGTAACCGTCGACCGAGATGAGGACGCCTCGATATTCCATTCCCCACTTCAATCTGCACACAACTGGCTTTCCGGCGAGTCCATTGAGGAACGGCTTTGGGTTGACTGGTTGAACAGACATTCTCTGAAAACAAAATTAAAAATGAATTTAAGTAGATAAAATGTTAAAAAGAGCAAGGTTGACGCGGGAAGGAGTCCTCGTAAACAAAAAGAACGGTTTTTCGGAATAATTTTTGGAAGAAAAGGATTCGAATACAAGACAGGCATATAACTAGGCGCTTTATGGAGGGACACGGTGGTTTTTGCACGAGGGAAGAGAAAGGGTGACAGAAATAGAAAGGCGTAAAAATGTAAGATTGGCTAATTCAAGTGCACGCGAAAAATAAAATAATTGCTTGACTGAACTTTTTAAACCACTAGTAAGTTAAAGATTTTCAGCTAAATAATTAACGTCTACATTTTTTGAAATAAAATGTCCATGAGAGTGCATTTTGACGAATCTTCGGCGCCCAACCTTTTTACCGGAGTGGGACAAATGCGACCTTTTTTTGCGCACCCGACCATTTGCGCACCCGGGACATTTCCGAACCTTTTTTTAGCGCACTTAGGACATTTCCGTACTATTTTTTTGCGCACCTTTTTGTCCATTATAACAAGGACTGCCCTAGAACCACAGGATCACTTGGCTTCACTTTTTGTTTTTTTTTCCTGCTATTGGTCTGTAGCTTTAAAAATTCAGTTAAAAAATTTGGGCGGGGGTACGGTAGCGCATCCACGCTTTGGAAAGTGCACCACGCCGCTTTCGCGCCAATCCCTTAAAACTACACGTTAATAGGAATCTAACAAAACGATTATATGGGTCTAGTGCAGTCCTTGTTATAATGGGCGAAAAGGTGCGCAAATGTCTCGGGTGCGCAAATGTCTCGGGTGCGCAAATGTCCCAGGTGCGCAAAAAAAAAGGTCGCATTTGTCCCACTCCCCCTTTTTACACCTTTTTTAAGCATTTTGTTTTGTTTTGGTGATACTAGCTCAACGCCCCTTTCTTCATCTCATTATTTTACCTCGTCAAAAATACATACAAAATCATTTAAGCAATTTTTCAAGAGGGCGAGACTGGCTTAACCCATCCTCCACTCAAAATTTTGCTCATTTTGTACAATGTGATAGAGCCGGATTTGAAGATTGAGGTATATTTTAAGTTTTCAAATAGATTTTAGTCATTAAGCAATTTATTTTGGTGCTTTGGTATTTGGGAGGGGCCACTTTTATCCTGGCTTCGTTGGATTCAATGTTTTGAGTGGTTGTATTGATACCTTTTACCTATTCTAAGGTAATCAAATATGCTTAATAAATTGATGACTCTTTAGCAAATTTTGGTAATGCTCGCCTAACGTCATGTAATTTAACCACCAAACGCTACCCCAAAGCTGCTTAGACTTGAAAATCAAATATAAACGGCAATATGAAACTTGGTACATGTTGTAAATGCTCTAAAGGCAAGGCTGATTACGCTAAGATAGGTAGTTAAAAGGCATTGATATACAACGACTCAAAACATTAGATCCAACTAAGCCAGGATAAAAGTGGCCCCTCCCAAATACCAAAGTACCAAAATAAACTGCTTAATGACTAAAATCTATTTCAAAACTTAAAATATACCTCAATCTTCAAATCCGGTTCTATCACATTGTACAAGATGAGCTTTTCATCCTTCTCGCAATGACGAAGGATCATCATCTTGAAACGATGCCACATGCTTTTTGTCGAAAACCACGCATCTCTGCGCTGGTCCGTCCGGCTTAGAAGTTGTGAAAAGCCAATTTTCACAACGTTTGGTTTTGGCTTTATCCATTGCAGTCAATCTAAAGAAATGCTAATTAGAATTAAAGTAAACTACAAACCGACTAAAATATAAGAGCAAAGGAGAAAATTGCTAAAAGAATAATAACCAAATTACTTTTTGAATTACAATTTGGCATTGTGAAATAAGCGGACCTTTAAAACTAAATTAAATCAAAATTATTTGGAAGAAAGATTAAAGTATCTAGGAAGAAATTAAATAAGCTAATGTTTTGTACGCCGAAAATTTCTCCAAATGCCCTCTCATAAGCATTTTATTTAAAAAAATCTAGACGTTCATTATTTAGCTGAATATCTTTAACTCACTTCTAGTGGTTTAAAAAAGTTCAGTCGAGCCATTATTTTATTTTTCGCGTGCTCTTGAATTAGCCAATCTTAGATTTTTACGCCTTTATATTTCTGTCACCCTTTCTTTTCTCTCGTGAAAAAAACCATACTGTCCCTCCATAAAGCGCCGAGTTATATGCCGGTCTTGTATTCGAATCCTTTTCTTCCAGAAATTATTCCGAAGAACCGTTCTTTATATTTACGAGGACTCCTTCTTTTTAAGGCTCTTTTTATCATTTTATCTATTTAAATTCGTTTTTAATTTTGTTTTCAGAGAATGTCTGTTCAACCAGTCAACCCAAAGCCGTTCCTCAATGGACTCGCCGGAAAGCCAGTTGTGTGCAGATTGAAGTGGGGAATGGAATATCGAGGCGTCCTCATCTCGGTCGACGGTTACATGAATGTCCAGGTGGGGTTGTCTTTGTGTAATGTTTTTATGGCATAGCTTAAAGCCAGTTTGGCGAGGTGAGTTCTGAATTTTGTTAGTTTTTATGTCGCTTGTGAACAGTCAGATATATGACGAGTAAGCTTGGTTAGGCCTAGGCATTCAGAAATAAATTTTTTATCTTTTAGATGGCTAACGCGGAGGAATACATTGATGGAACAAACACTGGAGCTTTGTGAGAAATTTTAATAAGGCGATTAATGTGACTTTTTGTCTAGTTTGTTTAAATCTAGGTGCAACAACATCCTCTACATCGGAGGCGCCGAAAACTCGGAAGGTTGATCGCCTGGTTTTCATTATTTATCATTTTGCTAACTTGTTGAATGTGTAACGTTATTATTGATCTCGTCCGTATTTTTATGAATAAAGTTTGATTTGCTGAGTTGATTATATTAACCGTTGATGGTGCATGAATCAAACGCAATGCCTATAAACTAGAAAGTTTACATGTGAATTAAAAGGAAATGTTGTTACTGTTGTGTGAGGCACTTACCAGAACTCAGTTTTATGGCAACGAAACATTTAACAATGAAATGATGACGAAACATGAACCTTCACGAGAAAGACGCAGAGGTGGCGACCGCTCACCGAAATGGCGGAGACGGTTAGTTTTAAAGGTTGTCTTGGTTTACAGCTGATTTAGGTCGCGATCTCCTAAACGTAAAGCTTCTCCAGAAAGGGGAAGACGGTAATAGAGCTTGCACCTTTTTTGATGAAAATTATTTAGATCTCGATCACCAAAGCGTGATGCCATTCCTGAACGGTGGAAACGTTTAGTTTAACCTGGGTTGCATTCAGTATTAGTGATTTAGGTCGCTAACGCCGAAACGTGCTCGACGTGAAGAATCACCAGAAAAGGCAAAAGAAAATGAAGCTCCTCAAAAAGTATACAAGAAAACTTTGTTGAAGTAAATACATTTGAGGAAAAGAAAGAGCCTGTGGATTTATTGCGTTCTCGCACTGGAGGCCCATACATTCCGCCAGCGAAACTGAAGTTGATGCAAGAACAAATCCAGGTAATGTATCAAATGATAACGTGGCCACAGAAAAAATTTAGGATAGATCGGGTGAGCAATTTCAACGATTGAATGGGGGTGTCTTAAGAAAACGATCTAGGGTCCCGTCAACAAAGTCAACCCCAGCAATCTTGTCGGAATTGTGCGAGAGCTTCTTCAAGAAAACATTATCCGTGGAAAGTTTGTTTTTTAGCATTTTCTGAAGTAAACAAAATTTTAGGGGTTTGCTGACTCGATCGATAATTCAAGCACAAGCCTTTTCTCCAACATTTTCACATGTATACGCTGGTTTGGTTGGAGTGATTAATTCCAAGTTTCCTGTTATTGGTGAATTGACACTTAAGTATGTTTCACAGTTTCAAGCTTTAGAAATTATGTAGACATTCAATTTTATCGATTCAAATTTTATAAAACTTCAGACGAATCTAATGCAATATTTAAATACTTATTTCAGCTCAGCCTCAACAAATGGAAATCATTGACAACACTGAGCAAAATCTCGTTGCTTTCCGTCGCGAAGTTTACTTGACAATTCAATCAGCGCTCGACTATCAAGAGCCCTCTCACAAACTTCTCAAAATGGGTGTCAAGCCAGAATTGGAGGTTGGGCTTATTGATAGAATATAAAACATTTTTGGCTCTTTCCAATTACTAGGTAATTTAAGCGTGGAACCAGCTTTTGTTAAATTTTAAGGTACCTAGTAATAGAAAAGGGCCACATTTTTTTCTTTGGACCCGAAAAAAAGTTTGTTTTTTAACATTTTCTCAAGCAAACAAAATTTTTGGGGTTTGCTGACTCGATCGATAATTCAATCGCCTTTTCTCCAACATTTCCACATGTATACGCTGGTTTGGTTGGAGTGATTAATTCCAAGTTTCCTGTTATTGATGAATTGACACTTAAGTATGTTTCACAGTTTTACGCTTTAGGAATTATGTATTTAGGCGTTTGACTGTGCAGTTCAAGCGATATTTTCGTCGGAACGACAAAGCAACAACGGTGACTGTCAGTAAGTTTCTCGCACATTTGATCAATCAACAAGTGTTATGCTGTTTTTCTTTGAATATGAATCGATGCATATTTAGGCTCACGAGTTGCTTGCTCTTGAGATTATGCTTTTGATGCTTAAAACACCAACGGAAGATTGAGTGGAAGTGTGGATTGCTTTTCTGAAAGAATGTGGCACAAAACTGACGGAGGTTGGCTTTATTTAAAAACGCTTATTGAGAAATGATTTGTTAGATTGCCCCGCTTGCCTTGGACAATGTTTCTCAGGACTTCGAAACATTCTTGCTGAAGCACAATTTGATTCGCGTATTCGTTATATGATTAAAACTGCAGTTGCAATTCGGAGAGATAAATTTGCGGTCACTTTTTAGTTCTATTGCCTG